AGCAGAATTGGGAATGAAATCTCAGAAAGCGCTGAAGATGGAGGCTTTCCGTGTACTTCTATATAAGCGCCGAGGCGAGGGAACAAACTCGGAGACGAGAGAGCATAGGGAGGCAGACGCTATCGTACTATGAAGATGGGTAGCCAGAGCCCACGACGCTACCGTGGTACCCGACAGGAGGCCCGTCGCGCAACAAGAAGGCAAATCGACGGGCCTCCTGTCGTGTACCCAAGCTACCAAAATCGTGATTATCAAGCTCTTGGTGCTCTAGCCGCAGTTTGAGGGCGTGAAAGTGGCGTAAATGAGCATTTCGGAACCAGCCACACTACCTCGCAAAACGGATGGTTCCAAAAATCAAACGTGATGTGATGTCGAAAATCCTTTCTATTGATGATAGGCTCCTCATTCCAGGAAAAAGGCGTATTTCTCGTATTTCTCGCTCGGAACGAATCCACAGAAACACCAATTCTGTCACAGCAGAAGCTGCTGCTCAACGGCGTTCTACGGTTCAGAAGTATCGTGTAAAATGGTCTCTTCCTTCTTAAAATTAGGCGATTCAGGCAGCAAATAATAAAAAAAGTGTGGTATATGCGAAGCGAAACAAATCCAGCAAAAAGGCTTAAATCAAAGCAACGGTGAATGCTACGAACAGGAACGCACTACTACACAGATTAACTAAAACAACAACTCCGAAATGCTCTCGAAAAATAAGGGATTAAGCAGGTTTCCTTCAGCCATCGAACCACGTACAGCCAGCACCACCCTAGCAAATGTTTTCATTATTTCTTCCTTTCCGTGTTTTCGGAAAAGACTACCTGGAGAAGAGATCGAACATGCGAGCTCGCAAACAGACCGCGTAAGAACAACCTCACTTTTTCAGATTCCTCAACCTAACATTTTCTTCTATTCAACCTCCAGAACAGAAAAAAAACGAAGTCGGCTTCCACGCAAATATGTAGAAGTCATCAAGTCTAGGATACATTGAAACAGAAGGCCTTCCATTTCGATCGTGACCGTGATAGGCGTGATTCTCAGAAGAGATTCACCACAAAAATTAATTATCGGAAACATTGGCAAGGAAGAAATGATACTCCATGACCCGCAATTTATATTTGTCCTCACTTTAATTGCGTAAAGGCCTCCAGAAAATCTTTTTCCAATCTCTCACTAGGTGCGCTATTAGTCTAACCACGGTTAACCGTCGATACACTTCTCTCCGAAATTTTTACGATCAATCACCCTCCTTAGGGAAGTCTGGAAGCGACTCTCTAACCACAGCACACCACCGTAGTTGGGAGACTCGCGCCAATACTCCACCTCCTCCCACCCAAACCGCACATTTGCCGTTCAAGGTTTTTCTGTATTAATCTGGTTCTGAGAACATCGACAAGGCTCAACATAGCCGGTTTCCACTCCAAACGGCCATTGGGCGGGCTCAAGAAAAGAGAAGGTGGGGCGGGGGCGTGGGGGAGACGGGCTGACAAAGCAAGCAAATCCACGATCATAACACTTTGGTTTTATTCAAGGCGCGTGAAAAACATTACGCCAAATTCGTGGAAAAATTGGAAAGTCACTACCAAATCGCGATTCTCTTTATCCTACTTCCAAAATGCCATTACGATCTCTCACATTCACATTTCCAGAGGTAGTCGCCCTTAAAGGCTAGAATCAGGATTACATTGATGGGTTGATTCCACTCAAATGTGAAAGTAGGGATGAGAGGTGGACCGCCAATGGAGAAAAAAGGAAAGAAAATCCTGACATGCACAGGAAATACGAGCATTTTGCTCCATGCTGTGGAGAAGTTCAAAAGACAGGGAGGGAGATGAGAGATAATGTGAGCGCAGAGGGTGGTAGAGAATTCCGAGAAGAGAGAGCATAGCAGATCAACGCAGCGACGCAGACAAGACATCGATCGGTGGGCGGACCATGTTATGTTTGGTGGAGTCTGTTAGAAGTTCATGGCGCCTAGGTCCTGGTGACGGGTTTTGATGTAGAAAGGTGGCGCTAACTTTGCACTTGATTGCCCAGCCCTTCTAGCCATGTTAGGGCTTCTTAGGTAGGTCTGAGCCCTACTTTGCGCTTTCAACCCAAACGCGACGAATCTCGTTCGACATCTGCGAACGGATGATAGACCCTATGAGTCACTGCGAAAATGATCTGGGGTCGCTCGTCGTCTCGAAGACAATCCTGGGCGCTCATCCGGTAAGGGGGGGCATTGTGATGCAACGTCAAGTGGCTGCCCTCACCCCCCACCCCCTAGACTGCCTTCACTCCCCCTGGCTCACGGGGTCCGTACTTCGAGAAACCTGTGCGCCAGGGGGAGTGTAGGCAGTCTAGGGGGGTGGGGGTGAGGGCAGCCACTTGATGCCCCCCTTACTGGATGAGCGCCCAACCCTGTGAGGAATATACAGCATACCTCGAACGCGGTAAACGTAAAGGACCGAAATCAAGCTAAGATAAACTAAAAAATATTATGGAACGCAATTCTTTATTATACCTTTTCTGACTCATTGTTTCTAGATCCACTGAAATATCATACTTTCGAAAGGCACAACTGGTTTGTTATTAAGGCACGACAAACATAATGTACTATTAACCTGAATCAATGACTAGAAGGTGTACTCACCGCTCATGGCGAGTTTAATGTCTCACAATTGTCTGCAGCGGTCGGCTTCACAAACTCACTTGTAATGACCACAAATACAATATAACGAAAATGCGTCAGTGGCACGGTCGACAGAGGTCGGAGGATATCAACTATACAGATATAGAACGAGAACATATTCTGCCAGATAACAGGAGAACGATCTACACACAAACTAGCAGATGGCGAAATCATGAGGTAAAGCTTTGTGTTGACTTAATGACGAAAGCAGTAGGACACGTTGGGCACAATCCGAAACAATAATTTTCAGGTTTAAGAAGGAGTTTTGTCCACATCACCCAACCGCTTCTCCCATCGCTCGCAATAAATTCTGTAAAAATCAGGAACATACATCAGAATAACAGTTTGATAGAAGAATCTGTATAAGCGAAAAAAAGCATACCTTGCATTTTTCAGGATTGCAACTTCTGCCTTTTTCAACAGAGCAATATTCTTTTCATTCAATGTTTTGCCTTCTTTTACGATACCATAGGAGCCTTCCAATATAGCAAAACGATTTTTGAGAAATTCAACAGCTCTCCTCAGAGTGGCAGGGTCGGATATCGCCTGAAAGCATGAAAAAATAAGATGGCGACAAAGTTACCCTTTCATAGTTCGAGGTCACTAAAATCATGATAAGAAAAAAGAGATAACAATTTCGCAGGATTACGCGGTAAATAAGATACTCACTATCGCAGGCATATCGGAGACGTAGATCCGAGCAAACTGTTCCATGGAAGGATGGAGTGGGCTTGGACCTACTCCAATGTCGTACAAGTAGACATTTGAAGACTCGCTGAAGCCCATTTCGGAGAAAAGCTTCTGTTTCTCTTTGAAGTTCTTATCTGACCGTCCCAGACCTTAAATGAGCCACATTTAGCTCCTCTAAAATCAAACAGCTAAGGGTCTCATGCTTACAGCTTATGGATAATGAATGGTGTATTAAACATCAACGCAACGTGAACTTACTTATTTTTAGTTTATAGCTGTCAAAGGGATTTTCGCCTGCGGGTACAAAACCATTGTGAAGCAAGTGATCAGCGGAAGATCGTCTACCATAAAACATGCTTACCCACTGACCAGCTGCCACATCCTTTGTGGCGATAATCTAAACATGTACAGCCCATTAGGTGCCATGCATTCGAATTCGGTGAGAATGGTGAGTAGTTTTCGGAGGATCGAAACAGCGAATTCACGTTTTACTGTGCAATCCCGCCTATTAAAAAAAGTCGATCCCGTACGAAAGGCTACTTCGATCAACACCCAGAACAGTGTGTTCCGATACAAAATCAGAGAATATGATACCTCCGCACAATCACTCTCAGTGCAGTAAGAGACGGCTTCTCCCAAGTCTTGAGTTCCCATCACCAATTCATGATTAGCCATATCTAACATAGGAATAAGTGCGGGTACCTAAAGTAGCTGAATATGAAAAATGGACTCCTAACGACGTAAAAGACATATGCAATGATCTTCAATACACAAAAAACTGTACTCCAACTCTAATTCTGCCTGTGAGCTGTGAGGGTTGGATCATACTTTGAGCTCGATTGCAGAGCCGGTGCGAGTAAATACGATAGTATCGCCTATGCGATTCCACAATCGCACCATCGCATGTGTGATCGACACCCATATACTTCCGACGAAAAGCGCAGATACGAATTGCAGATCGCAAAATCGGTGTACGACGATACCCTAGGGGGAGACAGAAAGATAAAGAACAAACTAAACTAAACTGAGGCAATTTAGAGAGCAGTCATTTGATGAAAAACCACACTACGGTTTTCATGGTTGCACTATCCTCATTTCTAAGATAAGAAATGTTATCAAAGTAGCAGTTAGAAAGTGGCGTAAAGAATCGAGGATATCAAAGAGGAGGAGCTCAGTAAGAAATTCGAGTCAGAATATCAGTGCTAAAAACCTTCCTATTCAAAACAAAATGTTCAACTAGTATGTATATGACATCATCATGAGTGCTGCAGAGGAAAAACTCTAACGCTGACTAATAGATACGACTCAGACTGATGAATGGAAACCTACCATTTCTTGGTACCATCAGCAGCTCTGGCCGTGTCACTAGGAATTAAGTTTATTCGAGTAGTAACAGTTCCAACGGCCCATCTATACAGAGAGAAAGGTGAAGTTGTCCACAGTAAATGGGGAATTGTACAGCAATGGAGGCTGAGCTCCTGCACGTTCTCTCTGAATGTTTAGCAAGCACTTACGGCATCCTCAATTGATATGAAGCGATTTAAAAACTGAGAAGATTCTTCGACAAAGGAGCGACAATATCATGTCGAATGCCATAGGCGATCAAAGAACTCACACGACTTGTATTCATAAACATCGTTACGTCCAACCATTAATAAGTAGTAAATGAACTGCCTAGCCACGGTGCGGAAAAATAGCAAAGCTTCTTCGAAGACTGGAGACGGCTTCAGAAGCTGAAACAATACAGAATCAAGATTAGGTTCAATTACGCAGTAGTGTCAAGCAGTAATTCAACGTAGCTCATACTTTGAGGGAAGATGACGCTTGAAAGATCCACCTCTACATATGGCACATCGATACATTGATGGGCCGGTCATTTACTTCGCCGTACTAATGATACTGAGTTTATGCGTGATTCGTGGTCCCAAGAAGCAGTAACGAGTTTCCCTAGGACGACGCTACTCGGTGGACGATTAGTCTTCACAATTTTGTAGAGAACACAGCTTGGATGAACTGCACTATTGGCATATGTTAGAGGGCGGCCCTTTGAGAAGATCGTCAGTTGATGGACTAACAAGTATCGAAGTAAGTAAATCAAGCAATAAGTCATTCAAAATGAACTTACCACCAATTCCTCCTCAGTATAAAAAAGTGGTGTCGTATAGAAACTGGGAAGTACATTGAGATACGAGGCCCATTTTGAATCAGATTTCACCTTATGAGCACAAATGAAAAGGGCTAGACCAACATTTGCCATATTCTGAACAATGACTTCGCTTTCAAAAACTTTTCTGAAAGTACATACTTCTTTTTATTATTGAGGAATAAGGTAGCGACATACTCACAGAAAGCAGATGACTGATCCAAACTCACTTGAGAATGGCAGACTTCCTTGCAAGATCGACGGAAATCATGGCATGTCGTGGTACAGTGACACAACGATCTTTTTCAGCTATCTCTCTGAAATGACGTGGCAGTTTTGCTGGACAGCATGAAAAAGTTTTGATTGTTCCATATCAAATGGTACAACTTACTTCGAAGCCAATAGTCCTAAACCGCCAACTTCGTCGCATTCGGACACAGTAACACCATAGCGTTTTATGCCAATTTGATCAGCCCATAATAAAAAATCCGCAACCTCTTTCGCTGTTCTGAAAACAATAACCGTTGGAGGTCATTTTGTGCTACCCAGTCGTGATCGTTCCAAAAGAACGCCAAAGAAGTACGAGTCCAAGCGAGCAATACATCACTACGTTGTAAATGTATTAAATCCGATGTCAGATATGTACAGTGGCCGAGACCAAATTGGCCACGCTCCAAGTTGGCATTCCGTAAGGTGTGAGAGGGCTTGCTAGTACAATAAAAACGCCAGCACAACACTTTGATTATTTAGATGCTGACAAAAGACATTAGAAACAAATTGAACTCCAGGAGTAAGGAACGAATTTACAAGCTGAAACGTAGGTCCCTTCTATATTCCTCACAGAGTTCAGTGAGCTCTTATATGGAAATCGAGAAGTGCGGTTTTCGTCCGATTCTCGATTTTATTTCCTCAGAGTGAACATGCACGAAGAGCACTTTTGCTATGAGTACGAATAAGTGTTGCCCAGTAAGGCCGATGTCAGACTTTGCGAATCGCGCGATTCGCTAGCGTCCGCGGTCGCGTTGCGGTACCAGCCAATTGAGTGATTCACTGGCCGCGACGCGACCGCAGACGCTAGCGAATCGCGCGATTCGCAAAGTCTGACATCGGCCTAATCGAATCACCTACAGATTACCACAGTTGCTTTACCAAAAAATAACGCGAACTGCGAGACTGGAGAGAGAGCCACTGCACGCCTTTTAAGCGATAATTAAATGGTATGTTCTGGATGAGACTAATGAGCCAAGGAAGGTCCGGGAAATACACGAATTCGGATATATCTATACGAGAAATCGCTTTTCAGCTGAATTCGCATAACTGATGGGGAATGCCTGTAGAAGTGGATGCATTTGCTGGCAAATTTCTCTAGGCGTGGCCATTGGTGTTCGAAATTCTCGCTTGAGACCATGAAATGCGGCCACGCCTGACGACCCCTTTTGATAAAATTGGTGCTTTGTGTTACCCTAGACCTTTTATGCATAGTTTGGCACTGGGTCTTCCGCCAGTTTGTGTTGATATCGTCAATAATGAGTTAATTATGATGTGATCCGATATGCAGTGAAAACAAATGACAGTCATATAACTTTGTAGGTTGTCAAGAAACAGCGGATTATGGCCAGAACCCATGCATATGTTGGACAGCCCAGTTGCAACAAAAGATAAATACATAGAAACCCGATGGCATAGTAATGTATTTCGACTCTCACATCGAGCCAGAAAAAAGTTGTTTGAAAAAAATGAGAAATTTTACCAGTGAATAAAATTTAAAAAAAAAACACAAAAATCTGCAAATGTAGGAAAGAAAAGAAGAGTGAATACCAACCGCGTCTTTCGACAGCTGAACGTCGGTGTCACTGAGTTGCGCCTGCTTGCTGGTGATTTCATCCAGAGCTCTTCTGATCACTTGATGTTCCTTCCAAAGCTCCACAATATTCGGAGTAGGGGGTTTTGAGAGCACATTCTCAAAGATATCAGCAGCTGTCTGCAGAAATTCTCCCCTCAATTTTTTCGACTCCGTGGCAGAAATAACCATAACCTTAATAAAAGCATATGATGTGCATATGATATGCAAGCAAACAATATTATGAAAGTATAGAGCTGCGCATTAAAAACTACACAGTGCTAGTCTACATGGTCTCAACAAAAAACTATGGAGTCTGCATCAATTTTTGTAGTTTAATGGTGAGACAAAGGAGCAGAAACATGGCGGATCTTGCGCCGGTAGGGTTTCCAAGGAGTCGGACATCTAGCACCTCCTGCGAAAAGGCTATAAACAAAAGGGAAGGATGGCCCCAGCGGCGAACCAACTATTACGCCGCACAGTAAGCAGTGCCGTATTTTTTCAGAAGCAAATTTTTTCTTTAAAGTCCCTTACGAGATGCTATATACTTTTCGGAAAAGAATCAATGGAGGTCCAGCCCGTAACGTTACGTGATGCGTTACGTTACGGAACGCTCACTTCAAGGACTAAGCCTGAGAGAAGAAGGAATCCGAAGTGTTTGAGCAACTCTTATTCTCTGCGGAATTAGTTCCTCTCCGTTAGGCCGATGCCAGACGTTGCGAATCGCTCGTATCCAGCGATTCCGTGTATGCTGATCACATCCCTGCCGAATTCGCTCCTTTTCGGTAGGCAGAGTCAGAGGTCTTTAGCGAAATCGCTCTGTAATTTGCTAGCGAATCGCGGAATCGCCAAAGTCTGTGTGGGCCTTTAGACCTGCCCCCCCCCCCCCCTCCCGAGGCCCACTACGACGAAAAAATTGCTCATAAGAAAATTGTTTACTTTTTGCGCATCTAGTGAACTTATTAAGTTGCAGTTTTGCGAAGTGGGAGATTCCGAGGACGAAAGTTAGCTAAACCGGCAGATTGAACTCTATGCTGTATGAAAAAACTATTGGGTTGTTCAACAAGTCGCGTCCCTTTCTTTCCGTATTTGGTTTTTCCCAAATCCATTGGGTGGTCAAACCTAATCTGAAAATTCTAGCGTCGGGGCATTAAGCTAGTTAAGCACTTGGGATAAATCGCGATTAGGTACGGCGTAGATCACTGACTGATTTTGTTGTTTTCAATGGAAAATAATACATGGAGAAATGGGGCACTATCGCACAGCAGACCACTTGACGTGGGGTTGAAATTCCGCCTACTTCATAATGAAAATAAAAGAAAATGAGATGCAAATAGAGCGGAAAAAAGCTCCAGAACGATATATGAAGTTATGTCGAAGCAAGGAAATCTAGAGGAAAAATTCCAGTTAAAAATTGCTATATCCAAACAGACAGGCTGAATGTCTAATTTTAGAAAAGAAAACACACGACGGGTCTCATCCAGTAAGGGGGATTGTGATGCAACGTCAAGTGGCTGCCCTCACCCCCCACCCCCTAGACTGCCTTCACTCCCCCTGGCTCACGGGGTCCCGTACTTCGAGAAACCTGTGCGCCAGGGGGAGTGTAGGCAGTCTAGGGGGGGGGGGGGGTGAGGGCAGCCACTTGATGCCCCCCTTACTGGATGAGACCCCACAAGACTTGTTGGACAACCCAATAGCAGATCTTCAGAACGGGTCTCGGCCAAGAACCTAGTACAGCACTCATCAATATTTTTGCTACAGAACGTAGAGTTAAAGTAATTCGCAGGTCCGGCTAATTTTCGTCCAAGGAATCTCCCACCTCGCAAACCTGCGATTCAAAAAATTTGCGAGATGTGTGAAAAGTAAATAAAAAATCTTGAAGAACGAATGGTTCCTTTCCGAACGGTATATAAAGTCTTGTGAAAGCTTTTGAATTTCGAGGGAAACTTGGCGTCTTAAAATACGCCACTTCTTATCGAAAACTTAATACATCATAAACCCGCGGAACGTGAGATGCACTTAGTGAGAATCGCTTTGTTTGAATCCAAAGAAGTACGTTCAGCGTTCCCCGGTTTTACTTCTCAGAGGCAAAGAACAATATATGTACCGTAACTGTCGTATTATTGAAAGATTAATAAGCATTATTGAGAAAAAGCACGAAAGATACGGAGAAAACATGAAGTACGGACAATATGGTTC